ATAGTAAGTTAAGTCTATCTAGACTGTGATATTTTGTCACTCTTACTTGTGTAAAAAATATCTTATTTTTTAAATCATAGACTAGTACCAGAGAATGGATCCGTCAACCGGGTATTTCAAAACATAAGTTTGAATGTCAGAACGGCTGAAAAAGAGGTCTAGTTTAGTATTTTATGTATAGTTTGATTCAAAATCATGCCTCTAACTACACTTGTTACCAAACTGAAGAAGTTTTTTATTGTAAATTACATTACATACATTTTTGTAACCTAAGTAATGACTAAAAGTTAGCTGAAATTAACCCATTTACTGTTGTTTAATATTACTAGATAAAATATTGTTTCAAATTCCATTTACAACTATCATCACAGGTGTATTACCTAATACAATAGTGCAGTTACAAACTAATAAACTAGAACAAACATAAGATAGGTATATTATGCACAACTTAAAGATATTTTACATTAAGCGGCTTTTGTGAATTCGTTCAGGTACAGCTGAACAAATCAGTCTGTTGTGAGACCACGTTAAGTGCACGCAGCGCGCGCGTCAAAGGCGCGTGCTGTAGCAAGTTGGTGCGCGCTTGCGGCACCGACAAGAGCGGCGGCCGCCGCCGTTTTCCTACGTACTCATTAGGGACACACAGCTCAGTTATCTGTAAAATACCTGGGTTATGTATTTCATGGATCACTTTTAGTAAGTAAGTGGCGAGAGCAACTTCCCTTCTTATTTCTAGTTTATAATAGCCTATCATGCCTAGTATAAATAAAGTAGGGTACAAAAGTGGATAACCCGGGTACAAACCGTACTGTTTTAAATAAATAAATCTCACAAATTTGTTCTGAATACTAGCATTAATTTATATTACTTCATGTGGTGACCAAACAACAGCATTGCATTCTAAATGACTTTTTACGAGTGCCTCGTATAATGTTCTCAGAGCACAGATGTTGGTGAATCTGTTGGCTAGCCGTAAGACCATCCCTAGGTTGCGGTATGCTTTTTTACAAACATTAGTAATGTGTTTTCGAAATTGTATGTCGGTAGTGAATCGCACGCCTAAATCATTAACCTCAAAAACTCGTTGCAGAGGGGTTCCATCCATATAGTATTGATGATGACTCGGGTTATGTGCACGGCTGAATGATAGAATAGAACATTTCGCCGCGTTGAAATATAATTTATTTTCTAAACTCCACTCCACGACTTTCGTTATATCCTGCTGAAGCATGTCATGATCCGGCCCGCTGCTTTATTTTTAAAACTAATTTTGGGTCATCAGCAAATAACAAGGGTGTAGACTTATTGTCTACTTCAGGCAAATCGTTGATTGTCAGAATAAAGAGAAAAGGCCCTAAGTTACTGCCCTGACTGACACCTGATCTTGTAAAGTAGGGTTCGGAAAGCCGTCCGCTGCAGTCAACATACTGACATCGGTCTCGTAAATAACAGGCGAAAAATGATAGCGTATGCGGTGTGCATCCGACGGTAGCCAACTTCGCTAGTAGGACGTCATTGTCTACTGTGTCAAATGCCTTTTTAAAATCAAAATAGGCAACATCCACTTGTTGGCCAGCATCCACCGTTGGTACTATGTGTGTCATTAGCTCGAGCAAGTTCCCCGTTGTCCCTCGCCCGGGACGGAAGCCGTGCTGTGCGTCGGACAACAGAGCACTTATTTGTGGGTACAAACTACTGTGAATGGTCGACTCAAAAACTTTAGCTGGAGTGCATAATACCTCCACGGGTCTATAATAACTGGGGGCTGAACCTCTGCTACCTTACGGCACGGGTACTATCCGAGTGAGTTTCCAACGATCAGGAAACTTTGCAGCCTTAATACAAACATTGATATGTGTAGCAACGGCTTTACTAATACTGCACGACAGTCCCTAAAAATAAACGCCATAATACCATCGGGCCCCGCCGAAGACTTCGGCGGTAAACGCGCAAGTGCGCGCCGTACGTCAGCGGGACGTAAGCACGCGAGATGCGTCCACGCACCCGGCGCCGCACCCGTCGCCGCGCTTATGCTTGCCGCCGCCACGCTCAGCTTAGGAGGCGTCGGATTGTAAACTGACTGGAAGAACCGAGCGAACTCATTGGCACATTCTTGTTCTGATAGTACCCGTCCGTCATTGATTAACCTTCGATGATTCGAATCGCCTTTCCTAGATCTTATGTACCCCCAAAACGCTCGCGGATCCTTTGCCAAATGTCCCTGCACGCGATCGCGGTACTGGTCATGTGCTCGTGCAGTCTCGGCTTTAACTTTTGCCCTACATCGAGAGAACTCCTCGTAATCATTGCGTGCTTTTCTAGATTTATATTTTTTATGTAATTTATATTTCAGCTTTATATCCTTAATTATTTCAGGCGTGTACCAAACCGGATAAATATATCTCCTATTGACTGAGTTTATATATTTTTTGGGGGAACACACTTGTCAAAAATATCATATATCTTATCATAAAATAAATTTAGAACATCGTCCGGGTCTTGTATATAGTATATCTCATTCCAATCTATTTTTGTAAATAAATTGTATAACTGAATAAAGTCGGCTTTATTAAAATTCCATAATTTCCGAGTTATCGGGGATCGTGAGCACGAGTATCGTATACACGGCGATCCAGAAGGTATAGTGGTTGGGGGGGGAAGCTGCGGCGCACGTGCGCCGAGCTCGATGCGCACGGCAAGCGGTGGATGGTACGCGTCCACGGGCTGCAGGCCCTCGTCCGCCGCACTTACCGAGACGCCGCCGCTACTGCACAGCACGAGGTCCAACTGCCTATTGTTACAATTAGGTACCACATTACACTGAGTGAACTCACAGAAGACCATGATATATTCATAATGATTAGATATATTATTATTACAAGAGTACATATTGAAGTCCCCTAATATAACTAAATTAGTTTTATATTTTACACATAGTTTTTCTTATATGCTAAACATTAACATATATTCGTTCTCGTCAGCCTGCGGCGGTATATACACAGCACAACAAGTAAATAAAAAATGGTTCTGAATATTAACAGCAGCACAAATTAGTTCAAACTTTTGACTGTCAATATTAAAATCACCTGGAACAGTCACTCGTCGCAACTCGAACCGCTGTGTGGCCACTAAAAGTACGCATCCCTGTTTGCGCCCATCTGCTCGGTCACATCGTAATATTTGGTATCCAGGGTTCAAATACATGATACTAACTCTCCGACTTGCAACCAGGCGTAAATTAACAGAAAGTCTACACTCTACGTAGCCAACTACAACCCTCGTACAGTTTTGCTAAACAACTTTTATAATAATATGATTTTACATTTGATTGATTTGATAGTGTTTTAGCGTCAATCAATTCCATCAATCATGATTGATAAAAAACAAATGGTGACTGATAGGCGTACATTACGCGCACATGCAGGCGTCAATCACTGTATTACACGGGAGGTTATTCGTCAATCACAACCGATAGTTGTAAAACTGACAGCCTGCATAAGTATGTAATGTACGACATAGTTTTTACTCTGACAAAGATTGAAAAAACTGAAAAGGAAACTGACTAACTCGTAAAACAATCGACATCTGCCATAATGATCAAGCCAAGCTATAACAGACATTATTTATATTTAATATATCGACATTTAAAAAAAATTAAAACAAACTCAATCTCAATTCAAATATAAGTGCTTGAAAAAATATAGAACAATATAAATATTGATATGTGAATATTGATATGTAAATATTGAAATGTTGAAGGAAATATCGATACCTCGGGGCTCAAAGGGCGTATAGCACAAAACGCGACTTTTCAGGAGAACGAAAAAACTAAAAAAAATAAAAATTTTCGCCGATATATTTTTTATTTGAAGTGCTATCTAAATGTAATCTATGGCAAAAGTTCTTAGAATTAGTTGTACTTTCATGTAATATCTAAAAAAAATGCCTCTGCCTAGTCGTTACAGAAATAGCTATTCTTATACGACCAAAAACAAAAAAGAAATGTTCTTTACGCCCCTCAAAAACTAGTTTGTGTGGGAATTTTAGGGCGTAAGTCTAACCTATCGCTCAAAATAGAAATTATAATTAGGGTAAAGGCCACTTGCGTTTTATTTTATAGTAGTATAAGACAATTTATTAGGGTATAAAAATCATAGACGAACAACAAAAGTCATCAGAACTCCGCTAACCATTATATATATATATATATAATATAGCAATTCACAATGCTGTGTTAGTCCCTACTTTAATGTATGGTAGTGAAAGTTGGGTGTGGCAAAAGAAGCACGAGAGTAGAATAAATGCTGTAGAAATGCGGTCATTAAGGAGTATGTTATGGGTGAATCTGAATGACAGAGATGAGAAATTGTTTGATAAGAGAAGAGTGTGGTTTGCAAAATGATGTTGTGACCAGGATTAAGAAAGGAATGCTTCGGTGGTTTGGTCATGTAGAAAGAATGAATGAGGAAAGAGTGATAAAGCAAATTTATGTTGCAGAGGTGAACGGCAGAGTCGGGAACGGACGCCCTAGGAGAAAGTTTATCGACCAAATTAGCGATGTATTGAAAATGGACCAAATCAATAGTACCTTTAACGGACGAGCGTGTATGCGTAGGTATATGGATATGGAAGAAGCGAGAGACGTGTGTCAGGATCGTGCCAAATGGAAGTCCATAGTCTAGACTAATGTGTGAATGTATGCGTGTCTGTATAGATTGCTGCATTTGAGTATGCAACTTTATTTACTTGATATAAATTATGTAGTGAGTGATCTTCGTATTATGTAGTATTACTTTATTGATTTGAAATTGTAACTTTATTTTGTCCAATACTTATAAAATAAAACAGTAATAGAAAATTACTATATTTATTATTCAAAAGTGAAACAATAGATTTTACCAAAAATGTTACTCAATCATACTCAATCTTCCTTTTCATCGTCTTCTTCTTCGACGTCGATTTCATTTAAAGTCTCACGCACGTTTGAGTCGTGCGGAAGTTTATGATATTCTTCGTGAAATCTTTTTTGGAATGGCTCCGGTATCACAAAGACGTATTAGGTCTCGGTATTTCATACTACTTATTTTTAATTTGGAATCGTACAAAACTCCGCCTGCCCTACTTGCCTCCTCATTAATTTTTATTTGCTTGTCTTTTTTCCCTTTTAACTGTCCTTTCCCTTTTCTTTCCTTTCCCTTCCTTGATATGTTTTCACATAATATTACTGTATGAGAGACTGATTCTTGTTTCATCGAGTATTTAACAAACATTTGGTTTGGATTTTTCTTTTTAAATGTGGCGATTCTTACTTGTTTGCATTTTAGTTTTTTTAATGTTGCTGATGTGAATGTCTTTGCAGCTAAGTCATCTAAGTTAAGAAAATCTGTGTGATCCAGTGAGTGAACTTTGTATGGCCGTGGTCTTTTGCGGGCGGATTCAAAGTAGGTCGCCCATTGCGAAGGAGCATAAACTATTAGATTTTTGACCTCTCTTTCTATCACTGCATGTACTGCATCGACAGGCATATAAGTGTGCCCTGGCAGCAGGTAATTAAGTTGTATGACTTCCAAATTAGTAGCCGTCTTGATAAAATTATTCACAGCAGCCAGCACTATTTTGTTTTTATTTTGGCCGCTACATGAGTCGCAGTACAGTATTAGGTGCTTTGTGCCTTTTCTGTCCATCACATCTAGATACTTCAACAGGCAAGTAGCTATTTCATTGCTCCCACGTTTGCCATCACACTCTCCCCATGTGTAACAATAAACGTCCTGTGTACCACTTTCATAAAATGTTAAGTTGTAAACTGCATATTTACGAGAATAATATAGCAGCATACTTTCCCCATGCGGTGTGTTTAAAACTTTCTGTAAGTCAAAACTAGAAACGATTGTTTCATTATTTAATGTCCTTAGATTTTGATGGATCTTGAATCTCGGTTTTGTAGCATTTTTTTCTTCAATATGTGCATTCATCGACTCTTTATCAATATCAGTCATGGTTTCTTTGTTGTTTTCAGCGTTGATACATGTTATGCATTTATCTTTTTTTGGAATATGGAAGCTGATATTGTATTCCCTAAAAATACTTCTGAATACAGTCTCACTAACATTTTCTTGGCCGGTTTCATTGCAATCTTTTAAATAAATACGATATAAGTTTGTTACGTTCTTCAGTTCTTGTGGGAGATACGTTCTGTTAGTCCTTTTTCTGTTATAGTGCGACGGCACTGCAGGAAGTTTTTCAATGAAGCTCCTCACGTAACTTTTTGCTGCTTCTGTATATTTTGGTGGAGCATTTGGTGTTCTGTTATCTTTTTTGGGCCATACCTTCTGTAGCATGTGATATGGTGTACGACATATATTTTTGAGTAATGTCTAAGGTATCGAGCAAAAACTTCTGACACACTTGTTTGTAGCCTTCGCCATGGTTAATTAAATACTCGTACGTTGCGTTTCTTCGATTCGATGAACTTTCCTTTTTTCTCCTTTTTATGGGAACTAATTGAGAACAACGTACTATCCAATCTCGTCTACGCTGCGTGTCTAAACTCCAGAAATATTGATGCAAAGAAGTACGCCTTTCTTCAGAGATGTTAAAACACCCTCTGGCACACTTGCCAGGAATACATGGATTAGGTTTCATTTTTTTTCCGGTACAAGTTTTCCACTCTTGTTTTCATAATTTTTTCCTGCATCTTTTAAGGTCTTAGTAGTTTTACGTTTATTAATTGACTTCTCTTTTTTTCTTATTTGTTCATTTTCCCCAAATATTACACAGGCACGTTTCTTAACTCTCTTCTTCTTCATCTTATTGGTAAAGTGTTCTTCACCACTGCTTGAATCTGATTCCTTGCATGACCAATTGTCAGAACTACCCGACGAGAAGTCTAGTTTTTCTTCGTCGGACAAAAAGTCTATAAAAGATTTCTTCACTGTTTTGTTCCTCTTTCTTTTTCCTGATTTTGTCCATTTGTCAATTTCAGTATGATTAGGCGCTCCATCCAAAGTAGTTCTGTGAATTTCAGTGCAGATAATAACATCCATTGTAGTTTCAACCGTATGATCTTCAAATAGACTAATATTTTTGACATCAGAATTTGAGTTTTGTTTGCGGGTTTTAAACTCGATAGCTCTTTTAGCATCAGATGGTACTGGTACTTGTTTGCAGGAAGACTGTAGTTGATATCCGTAAGTAAAAGCATCTGAGTTTTCTTTACAAATTCCAGAAACAGAAGCTTCGGCACCAAATGGTTCTGCCACTGCTAAGTTTTGAGACTGCTGAAGAGATCCGTAAGTAGTAGCATCAAAGTTTTCTTTACAGATTCCAGAAACAGAAGCTTTGGCACCAAATGGTTCTGCTGCTTGTGAGTTTGGAGACTGCTGAAGAGATCCGTAAGTAGTAACATCCCTATTTTCATTACAGATTTCTTTGGCATCAGATGGTGCAGCTGCTGTACAAGATGCGGCCACGTCAGTGGTAGCGACCGTGTTGTACTTACGGGTTTCAGAAATGGTTGATATTTCAGCATTTCTCGAATCTTTTATAACAACATCTGATAGTATGTGGATCTTTTTGTTTGGGTTACTAATACCGTTATCTGTTTTTAGTGGACTAGCTTGATGCTCATTTCCAAAATAAGTATGTGAGCGAGGAAAGGTAATCGTCGAAGTAGCTATGTTATCTTCGCCACTTGAGTTTGATATGACCAAACGACGTATATTCCCCCTTTGACTAATGTTTTCATCTTCGCTGTCTTCTATTACATCGGTGTCGTTACTTTTTCGGCTCTCAACTAGAGAACATCCTACTTCATCAGGAAAAGTGGTAACGTTTTCAGTCATTGTGGGATGAAACGGTTTTACTTCAGGAATTGGTACATGCGTGCATGTTCTAAAAATAAAACGAGTACTTTCAATAAATAACATAAATTAGAAATAAATTACATAGAAGCTAAAATTAGTCAATAAAAGGAAAATATTTCAAAAACAACATGCGTTTACTCCACAGAGGTTCTGGGTGCTACTGAAAGGTCCTGTAGAAATTCAGGGAGTGGTTTTACTCAATACATACATATTATTTTATTATGGGACAAACCCTGAAATACCAAAAAAATCATCTGTCCTATTCCTTTTCATGAAGTAGGTATTGAAGATTAGTATGGAACAACTGATAATTATGTTTCTTGCCAATTCAGAGTTCATCACGTAGTAAAAGTTGGATGCAATGATGAGTGAAAGAATCGCCGTAATTTCTACAGGACCTTTCTGAAGCATCTCTGCAGTATAGTGATTAGTCAAGAAAACATTTTTTGCCAGAGTTCTCAGGAATTTCTCGCCCTGAAAGAGAATTCACTAGGAATCTATACAAGGTATAATACAATGTAAAGGCGAAAGAAAGACCTATGAATGTATCGAATACTTATATCAGGATTATTATATGTAGGTGGTAAAGGCAAAATAAAATATTTTTAGTGGGTCGTATAGCACAGTACTCCGAGGACAACACCTACACTATGCAATTATGTGTTACAGAAAGTCGAAAAACTATTCTAATAAGCGCGCCAAAACAAAAGTCACTTAAATTTAACCTTTATTGCCAAAACCATAAGTTAGAGAGTCGCACTCTACTTTGTATGAGAAAGTTGGGTAGGTGGTATAGTTCGGTCGTTCGGGACCGGTATTTTGTAGCAAAAATTCTGGAAAATAAACACTTATGCCACTTGGTAAACGTTTAATTTTGTCAGCATAATACCAAAATACAAAAGAGATTTAAAAATATAAAAAGAACAGTACGTGGTAGAGCCATGCTGCAGTTATATTAATAGTATAGTTGTAGCACGAATGGGTCGGCTCGACCGGGGAAGGACCACGCTCTCACAGAATACCAGCGTGAAATAGTAGCTTAATGCTGCTGTATTTCGTATGGTGAGTGTAGAGAACCGGAGACCCTTTTTACTGGAAACGAGGCATTCCATCTTAGTCCTCACGGGTGACAACGCATCTGCATTTTGATTCGTAATCGAGGATAGATGTAGATGTCTATGGGCCACAGCATCCACTTACCATCAGGTGGACTGTGTGCTCATTTGTCACACAATTCCTATATAAAAAAAAAAACGTAAAACAATTAGTATGACCGAACCCGACAAAAAAGTAGTAAGTAAAGTAAAGTTACAGCCTATACACGTCCCACTGCTGGGCTCAGGCCTCCCCTCATTTCTGAGAGGGTGGTAACCCGACAAAACGACTGAACTACCGAGACTAGAGGAAATTTATAGAGGGTCGTATAGCACAGTACTCCGAGGACAGTACAATAATACGCAGTTACCTTAACATTTTTCGATGATAATTAGCCAATGCAGCTAGTTGATTTCGACGCTTCATCAACGAATTTAGGCTATTCTCTTCATTATAATTTTCCATCGCGATTCACGTAACTTAATTATCTTCTTTAACATTCAATTAATTTCAAAACAACCTAAGACAAAACGCCGTTAACACTTCGCTGTTTTGTTTACAACTAAACGTGACGTCTGTCAGGACTCAGGAGTAGTGGAGTCGGTAAGCACAGGGGCGCGGGCGGGAACAGATAAACTCGCGATGAAGACAACCAAAGAACTTTCCACATAGCTCTGTCTCTGTCTAGCGCTAGTGTCTAGGCCGTCGGTCGTCTGGATTCGTCCTTTTCGGAAATTGTATAAGTGAGAAATAATGATAATGTTGGTTGGGTTGTATTTATTCAATTATCTGTTTACTGTTAGTAGTGGTTAAATTTGCACGAAAAGCCCCAAAATTTGGGGTAGTAAAGAACATTTTTTCGAGAATTTCGCTACTTTGAATATGTAGTTCGATAGAGAATGAAAAACTGAATAAAATGGTGTAACTAACTCTATTTGACCAAAATGTGCTATACGCCCTTTGAGCCCCGAGGTGTCGATATGGTAACCGAATTCTTATAAAATCGTTCAAAATATGTTGCTTTAAAACAACGAGTAAGGGCTTTGTTATCAAAAGTTGAAACAGATTCCTGCTATATTTGCACGCGATGCATTTCACTTCGTTTTTAACGTTATTATATTACGCGAGATATGTTAATATATTTTCCAGTTTCATATAAGCAATAGAACGTAATGTTCTGTCAAGGTGTACGTACACTGTGAACGTCTCGCAACGCAAACAGCGAAGGGTAATTCCATAGAGTAAAGAGTAGGGACCAGAGGAGAAGCTTCCTAACAACGTCGGAAATGTTTACCTATTCTAATAGGGTTGTCACATGATGTATGTGAAAAATTAAAATAAAAAAAAAATAAATATACTATACAATAGGTAACATAATTAACGCACATCCTGGAAGTATTTTGTTCAGAATCGTTTACTGAATCGATTCCTATCATTTTTAATATAGGTAATTTTTTATCCCAAAAATAATTAAAACTACGTAAATTACAGTCACACTAAATCTGTACAGTCAAATCAAACAGAAATGGACCGTAACATAAGGCAATAAGACTTTTAAAGAGTGCAGTTTTATTTGTATTATTACTAATTCTGGCATTCAATAAAAATAAAGAAAAGTGAACTTTATTTCAAGCACGGTAAATCTTTGCGTTCGTGGATTTGTACTGTGACTACAACATTCTTCCGGAATTAGTATAACTAATTTGATAAATAATCAGTGCATAAAAATTTTTAATTAAAAATTCAGTGTATGCATTATGATGATAACATAATATACTGATTGGGGTGTCTGAGGGTGTGCGTTAATTGTGTTACATATTGTATAGTATAAAACAATTATGTATATTCTAAAAAAAATTAAATTATGTATATTGTAGTTTAGACCGACTTCATCACTCGGTGGCATACCCGTCTTACATATTCTCACTTACCTATAATACGTAAAAAGGTACTTACTACACTTGACCTCTCGGATACAAAAAAAAAGAAAATATCCTTATTTCCTCTAGAAGAATTCATGCAGATTATACAACTATTAGGCAGTTTTACTTATAGAGAATACTTATTACTTAAATATATACATTTATAATAACAAATTATTTTAATTAAAATAAATTAAAATTATATATAGAAATTTTGAAATATTGTTGGTCTATTTACTTAACCTCTCGGTGAACCTGTCGGTGAAAGCTAACGCTAATCGCTACACATAGTAGCGATGTGTACGTTAGCACACACGAGATGTGTATTTGGAGCGAGCCGTTTGTATGTAGGTTCCCCTCTGGTCGGTTTCTTTACTCATGGCGTAATTCTACAGTCGCACACAGAGAAAATAACGCGACATTAAGTACTATCGGCGCAGGCAACGTACTATTTCATCTTTCTGCACTACTGTGGGTAAACCATGCGCTTGTGTGTGCGATGTGAGCATTGAGTTATACAAAACTAGAGGATCAAACCACATTACCGCGCCTTGAAGAAAGTATAACCACTATCCAACCGCGACGACGTAGCTTTGAAATTACTAAACATTTTAAATAAACATATATCTGTCTCACCTACACAAGTAGCGAAAACAATACCGTAACTAAGATTAGATAAAGATATGGACCCTACACACGGTCAGTTCAACTGATCATTCAAACTGATAAGTTCAAACTAAAACTGTTGATGTTTTTTAAAATAGTGGATTTTCGATATATCGATCGTTAAATATATTAATATTGGAGTTTTAAATATAAGTTTAATTACGGATTTAGTTTAAACAACAGTTTTAGTTTAAACTGCTCAGTTGGAATGATCAGTTAAACTGACCATGTGTGACCACCAATAGACACACCAAAGATGCAACGGTGGGTTGGTGTGGTTTACTATATGAAATTTAACCCAAAATACGCAACAAAAAGTAGATTTTTAAGCTCCAGTTAATTGTTTTTATATAAAAAAAGTATATTTTCTTATCACGTGAATAGAAGTTAGCATAACTGATGAAATAAAACATTTTTATAAGTATTTTTATTGTACTAATAAATCAAACAGTATAAAATAGGTAATAAAATATAATTAATATAAAATATAAAATTTATATTAAAAAATATTATAAATTTTTTATCAATATAAAATTATTAATATAAAATAGGTAATAAAGTATAGATCATTCATGAATAAATAAGTAGTTTTTGTTATAATTTCCAAAATATTTAAAATCAAAGATAACAAATTAACTTACTCCATTAATTATAAAGTCTCCCGTTAATGTAAGATAATCACAAAGGCGGAAAAGTGGTAACATTTAACCTAAATTGCAATATTCGATAATTTTATTAAATTATTTGAGGTTTTTACGTTTATATGAAAACATGAACTAAAGCTTATATGTGGAAAGTGATTCCGCTTGATTTTTTATGTTTTTGTGACCTTGAATCGCATTCTGTCACTACGCATTTACTCATTTTTTGTCGCGGATCGTTCGGCTCAACTCTGTCAGCGTCACATTGAACACTGAACTGACGTTAGCTAGGCATATGTTTGTGGCCATATGTGCAGTGGCAACGCTTTGGCGCGGTAATTACTAATCTAGTGTAATATAATGTATAATATATAAATCAATGAATGCGAGACGCTTACTTATATTATGAAGTAAGTTCAGTACTCTTGCTCACTCAAATATCTGTAAATTGACGTTTCACGACTTGTGGAATATTTAGTCTAGTGATCAGAGTACCTTGCTTCTACTCGTGGGTCCTGATTTGCTTGATTTTAACCGTAACCAATAACATTTCGTTTATCCTATTATTTTGGTCGGAGTTTCATAAGTAAACAGTAAATATTCTATTAAAGGGTTGTTATCGTGCATGCGCACATTTGTCACACGTGAAGCAAATTATGTAGACGACAAAGAAGGTATCGTAGGATAAACTGACGTCCAAAAGGGGGCAAATAACACTTTTATCACTTTCAAATTTCTATTTGTGTAAGTGCTTCCCTTCGGTAGACGCAAGCGTTACCTACGCTAAATTAATTAATCCGACTTCCTCGATCCTTCTTTTTTTTTCAAAATTCTTTTGAATGAAGAGTTAATTAAATTTAATCTAATTATATAATAAATTTGTTGAAAAGTCGTGTATGTAATTCTTAATCCTAATATTTTCTGGAAAAAGTAGGTTAAGTGACTAAATAAAACATTCTACAATCAAATTAATCAAAAAATCAAATTAATAGCTTTTAGAATTTTTGACTGTCTATATGTTGGTATACTCACGGTATAAAATATAAGACCTGGTAGTCGGCGAGTGTTTTCAATCATCAAGTTTTTGTCTCATCTATATATACTGCAATGAAATGCGAAGATGCAGGAATTTAATAGATGCTGGAGCCTCAGAACCATGCTAATTGGCATTCCTTGGAGAGATCATGTTTTGTAACTCGATGGGCTATATTGATTATGATGATTTCATTTTTTTTTCATTTTTTTTCATTTGAAAAAATATTAGTAATCTTATTAATTAACATTACTAATATTCCTTTTAACCACTCCTGGTAAGCTTGAAAATGCTTGTGTTAGGAGTGGTGGTGGTGGTGGATGATGATGTTATACAGTAAAGATCAGTGACCACAATATTGTCTACCCAGGCAAGCTTTTAAAATTCACAGAGCTTTCGCGTAAGCCTGTGCTATTTTGGCGTCAAAGCTCTGCTGATGCGTAATGTTGATGCACCGAAATTTTGCAATGTTATAAGTTTGCACATGATAGAGCTGAGTAGAAATAATATAAAGACCACTATTCTGATGAGAGTTGAATTACTTGGACCAAATATTTCGCACAACATCTGATTAAATAAAATAATGAAATAAAAATTTTCTTGTAGTCGTTAATATGTTTTAATATTAATTATTTTTGAGAATATTTTATAATTATTAACACTAGGTTAAGCTACGGATAGAGTAGAGTGGCCCTGGAGCTTTTGAACTCATAACCAGGTACTGTTTACTTTTGATTATTGATTTTGAGGGAGTTTATAAAGATCTACATAATATATGCATATTTATTTGTGCAAACAAAAATAGTTCTCATAACCAACGAAATCAATATTTTCTTCAAATTTGTTTTGTTTACTATTTCTTTAACAAAATTTGTTCATAATTTTAATTCCTTGTATCGTTTTTAACTAAGAAAACACCATAAACTCAATTTAAAAACATAAGGTGAATAAGCTTTAGGCCCAGGGAAGTATTCAATTTTAAGGAGCAAACATAATGTATGGGAAAACATCTTGCAGGCAGGAAATGTTGGATGTAAACACGACAAGGGCAGAGCAGGTTAACACATGATAAAATTTGATAACATGTCGGATAAATCTTGCGCTTTTAAAATCTACGTAAAAAACTTTAAAAAAATGTTGAGCTCCTCTTAAACCAACATGCTT